ATTCAGGGCCCCGCGGCCGACGACGACGGCGTGCGCGCGCGAAGAAAAAACGAATGTGTCCCGCATGGTATTATTTGACAGGGATGATGGCCCTGGCAGGTGCGCAACCGTTGTTGCAGAAGTTCGAAAAAGTTGCTCGCAAAAGCCCGTTTGACAGAAATGTTTAAAAAGTGTTGGGTTTCCTACGAATCCGCAAGAGCGCGCGGGATGAAATTTTGACATTTTTGTTGAAAAACCATTGGTTTTTTGATGTTTTTATGTTAAAATCGCTACGAAAACTAAGGTTTTGGAAGGATTTCGTCTTGCGCGCGCGAATGTCCACTTTACCTTGGGGGGCCATGCACCAGGGGCCCCAACAATAATTATTCTTTAGAAGTAATAATGTTCAACAACAACAACAATAACAACAACAACAACAACAACAACAACAACAACAACAACAACAACAACAACAACAACAAAACAAAACAAAACAAAACAAAAAAAAAAAATGGCGTGGCCCTGCGAAGCCGTCCGTCGGCTCGAGGCCCCGCTGCGGCCCTGCCGCGCCCGCCGCGGGCCGGGGGCCAGCGCACGCCCTCCGCGGGCGGCCCCCGCGCGCCCCTCGCGCGGCCGCCGCGCGCCCTCCGCGGGCGCGGCCGCCCCCCCGCCATGGCCAGCCCGGGCGGCGGCCTGCGGGGCGCCGCTCCGCTCGCGGCCGGCGCGCCCACGGCGCCGCTCCGCGCCGCGGGCGCCGCCGCTCCCGCGCGGGCGCGGGCCGCGGCCGCCGCCGCCCTGGGGGCCCCCGCGGCGGCGGGGCGCCGCGCGCCCGCCGAGGCGCCGCGCCGGGGCCGCGCTCGGCTGGGCCGCTGGCGGCGACGGGCCTGGCGCTGGGGGGCGGGCTGCTCTCCGCGCGGCGGCGGGAGCGGCGCCCGCCGGGCCCTCCGCGGGGGGGGGGCGGCGGGGGGTGGCGGGGCTCGGCGGGGCCCTTGGCGGCGGCGGCGGAGGGCGGCGGCCGCGGCGGCGATGGCGCTGGCGGCGGCGATGGCGGCGGCGGCGGCGGCGGCGGCGGCGGCGGCAGCGGCGATGGCCGCGACGGCGATGGCGGCGGGGGGCGGCGGCGGCGGCGGCGATGGTGGCGGCGGCGATGGCAGAGGCGAGGGGGGCGGCCGCGGCGGCGGTCCTGGAGGTGCGGGCGCCGCACCGCCGTGTTGCGCTGGGCGATGTCGCCCGGGTTTTTGTCGGGCCCTGCGGGCTGCGCGGCCCTCACAGGTCGATGCGGCTCGAGAAGGAGCAGGAGAAAGAGGGGGTCGAGGGTCCCAGCTATGATGCGTCGCGGTTTTGTGTTGTTCGTGACGGCGGTTCTCAGGGGGGCGACTTATAGACGAGCCTAATCGTAAGGGCATCCCGTCCGTGACAGCGCCCCCGCCTCGCTCCCAGGCGTGAGCAGGCGGCTGGAGGGGAGCCTCGAGAGCGTCCCCCTCGCCAGACCGATTTTGTCATGACGTGGACCCCCAGCAGTCTGGACCCATTCCCCAGGTCAGAGTTTTCATCCCGGGTCGTTTTGTCGACGATCCCGAGGGCCAGCAGTGGAAGGGTACTTGTGGTCGAGCTCCTACTGTACAGTCACCCACGGAGATTATTGGGAGAGAGCTGCAGCAGACAGCAGAGCGTGCACTGCCCATGGTCGTCTGGCTGGCTGAGAAGTGGAGCCCCCCACAGTTGCAGCCTCGTCCTGTTGTGCAGGAGCTGGCGAGAGCGCATCCAGGCTCTCCTGGGATCCCTCGGCTCAGGGCCCCTGTCGCTGCTGCGGTGAAGGCTCTCGGGGAGGCGCAGCGTGACGATCCTCGCGTGCCTGTGCAGCACAATCTCGAGGAGAATCTGGCCACGACCATCTTCAAGCGCCTTGAAAATGAGCCACCCGTTCCCCTCCCAGAGGGCGCTATGTGCTGGCCGATGCTGCGTGAGCGTCTCGCGACGATCCCTCTTGCATGGCAGAGTGCAGTCATCAAGACGTTGGTTGGGGGGAGGACGACGAGATCAGGATGATTCAGACCAATTGCCCTTGCAAATTCGGGTGCCCTGATGCTGTGGACTCGCAGCGGCATTACATGTCGTGTCCGATCTTGCGGAGTGCGGTCTTCGGAGTGTGGCAACCCCAGTGCACCCAGAAATGTCTCTTGGACCGTCGGCTGGGCCTCGCGAGGGCCGTGCATGAGTATGATCGGCTCCTGGCGGTCCAGAGGCCGGTGTTGTGCTTTTACTCGCACTTCGCATTCCGAGGGGCCCCCAGGATCGTTACCGAGGATATCCCACTGCATGCCCGTGCTGATAGTTCCCAGCTCTCTCAAAGAAAGGGGGGAAGCGTGTACGCTCGCCTATAGCCCTACCAAACAATGTTCTAAGAACCTTTTGTGGTTTCCACGAAATGTTCTTAGAACATGTCTGGCTGGGGCTGTGTCGTTTTAACACGTAAGGCTTAAGTTATAAGAACCTTGCTTTTGTTGTTCGAACATGGCTT